TAATGTGTGTTAGTTTATTTTTTTGTGATCTGTGTACCATGGTGAGTATAATTCTTCAATTTTTGTCCCAAAGATGCAACAGAAAGTAAGAGGAAATCTCTACAAGGTGAGCAGAATTCCCTCCTGGACAGTATTTCCTGGATCAGGTGTTCCTAATGGAAGATGTACCCTCTTCTCTTGTTCCACAACCCTGATCACTTGATCACCAGAATACATAGGGTGGGTGAATTTTCCCAGAAGTTCTAATTTTCCCTACTCACTCTAAAACTGAAAAAAGTTTTGGTTAGGCATACACTTTAACAAGTTTGCTACCAACTACATTTAAGAATGGTGGTTCTGTACCTTGTGATTGCTGTGATGGCTAATCACACTGATCACAAAAGCCCTCCCCTTCCTCTTACAAAGGTAGTAAGGAAGTGAGTATTTATCACCAAAGATTTCTGAATAAGGGGATCAAAAGCAGCAGCAGATAGTTCACGATGAAGGGTTTTAATTGATGTTGGATCATTTTTAACCCCTTCTCCTTTTCTGTAAATCTCATCTCCATGCTGTCTAATTTTTAACCACCTCAATACAAGCTTGTTTCTTTATTTCCAAAAATTGTGGCAAGGATGAGATCACCTCGGGATGTTTACTTTCCAAAAAGGGTTCATTTTGGGGTTTCTGTACTGTCAAGGCATCTTTATTTTATATGTGTTATAACAGAAAGTAATGTTTTTTTCATTTATATAGCAAATAAATTAAAACGGGGGTTATTAGAAAGAATGCTCTAATAGTTTAACAAAATTATAATTATGTGGGGACAGTGTTGCCTGACTGAATTGTCAAACTATCACAGCACTAAAAACTAAAAAAAATGGCCTAGTAATTAAGGGGTATTCTCGGCTGGTAATCAAGAGGTTAAGAAATAAATAATTATTCCTATTTAAAGTGTTTTTTTATTTTACATTTCTGCTTACTGTACATTAAGTGATAGCGAGAGAAGGGCTGTAGCAAAGAAACTTGATGCTGTTAAGTTTTCTTGCATTAAAAGTAATATTTTTCTCCAAGAAGTTTGTTCAGAATCATCCTCCACACCTTGAAATTCAGAAATATATACATGTAAATTGCTGCAGTCACTGCTGCCGAGTCATGCTGTGCAGGCTTCTGCTCTTTCAACTAGTGGCCATATTTTTGCTAGTTCTCTCAAACATTATTTGGCAGCTGAAAATGAAGCTGGTAACATGTTTACATTTTATTCTTGGATCTGTCTACAACAAAATTAAATTTCACACTTGGGTACATTATCTGTGGGTGTGCTCTGTCAGCAAATCTATACTAGGATTTGAATGCTTACCTTCACATGAAGGTTGTACACCAGACCAAGAGCCATTTAATAAACATGTTCTCTCCATGGAGCCCATCAACATGTATCCCATTTCACAAGAAAAACGAAGCAAGCTTTTGATTTTAAATTCATTTCCAAGACGGGAACCGTGAGCTGGAATGCCAGGATCGCCACAGGTTCCAGGGTTGTTTCCTAAAACAATATGAATAAGTGTTTACTTCATGCCATGTACAGGTAATGCACATGTAAAAACATTTTTTTTAACGTTAAAATGTTTTGCTAAAATGAAAACTACAGTATACAACAAAGTTATATACTCACAATAAAGTCAACCCAATCACCAAAATCTCATATACAATTCAATATGGTATTGTTATTGCTAACATTATTTGCAATCTTTTTAGGTTTGCAGCTTTTGTTAAAAGAATACCTTGTGATCCTACCATGAGGTTCCTTGTTTAGAAAATGCCTGTTAATGGGTTACTTGTATATGTTTCGCCACCCGGTTACATGTGCCCTTGAAGAAGACTAAAAGCGACAATGCCAACATATACTGTGCAGGCATTGTCTGCCATTGTAACTTTCAGAAGCCAGGCCAGATCAATGATGTGCATCCAATGATGGAGCAAATGCAATATAGCATGGTTGAAAAATGGCTGAAAGTGGTAAAGGAGCTTAGCAGCACAGAGATGCAAAAACGAATTGTTATTTTAGTGGAACAGAAAAAAATAACATAATTGTTTGTGATGCACAATGCCTTAGCAAACTAAATATTATCTAGTGGGGGATTAGATCTACTTTTGATCTACAATGAGATCTAGAAAACTATTTTAGTTTTTCCAGGCTTTAGTCAGAACAAAGGCGACTGATGTTAAGGGAGGAAGGGAATATGGGAGCTTGTGAGAGGCAGGTATGCAGAACCATCTCGCTCTAATTATTATGGGCAGAGTTACGGGGAAGGGGTGCCTAGCTGTATGTTTGGTCTTGATTGTAGATATAATTAATTGAGACAGGACAGATATATGAGCTGCTATAATGGTGATCTAATAATTTGAATTCTTCAGTTATAAAGCGGATTAATAAGTAGATATAAAACACACAAATTAAAGCAGCTCTTAAATCAATAATCCACCATTAAATGTATTTAATTAAATTACAGATGTGTAAGTCCCTTAATTTGACTTGATATTAGCCTCTTGCAGTCCCTGTATAGCAGAGCTCAGAGTACTCACAATGGCTGTGCTGCTCCTTCTTCACTGTTCTGTAACAGATTGGTAGGTCTTTGACAGCTTGGGCTCAGAGAAAAGTCGTTGAATGATGCTGACTGTCATTCAAACCCAGAAGACTGAGGACATCTAATGGCAGAAAATAAGTAATGCATTGGATGGCTCTAGACCCTTGGTTCTCAACTGGTGGGTCATGACCCAAAAGTGGGTCGCGACCCTATGTTTAGTGGGTCACCACATGCCTTCCACTTTTGAGAGACTCCTCAGCCTCCTCCCAGCGCAGCCCTGTCAGTTCACACGCCGAGCAACCATTCAAAAATGCTGCCCGGCACTCTGTGTCAGCTTGAGGTGGGGTGGGCTGGAAGTATGGCCTTATGGGAGCTCCATCCAAACATGCATTGCTTACAACCCCCTCATGTGCCCTGTAGAGGTGCCTGGGCCAGATGGACATCACATTCTGGCTCCCGGCACCTCTACAGGGCACGCATGGGAGCTGTACAAACAATGCACAGCAGCCCAGGCTGAGGCTCCCCTCCAGTTCCCATAAAATAGGGATCTTAAAAAGAAGAAAAAAATATATAATTTTTTTTGGAGTGTGTATATGTGTGTGAGATTGTCTGTGGTTGTGGTTGTGTTTGTCATTGTTTTTGAGGGTTTGTTTACACTAGTACATAGTCCCATGTAATGAATGCACTGTACAATGCAATCACACTTACTGCACATTCCTGTGGAAGGTGCGTTGAAATTAATTTGAATGACACCCCAAATGCACCTCCCAGCCACAGTCCGATCCCCTGCACCTGAACGCCTTGTACAGCAATGCCGTGCATTCCATTGCAGTGCGAATTGGGTCGTGACTTAATGACCAAAGACAAATGTGGGTCCTGAGGTTACACCGGTTGAGAACCACTGCTCTAGAATAAAGGCAAATATTGCAGCAAAGCTGATTTTTTATTTTATTTTTTTAAAGGTCTATTGTTATTATTACTTTTTTACTGGAATTTTAAGTTGTGCTTCATAGAGCCACTCATTTAGCATTGTAGTGTTACCAGTCTGAACAACTGAGATCCTCTATGAATAAGCCTATTTGGCAAAACAGGTCAGAACCTGTGGATCTGGTCATGCTTATAACATTGAAGAATCCTGGGAATAAACATTTTTACATTAAGATCCTGACTGTTGAGTGCAGCATTACAAACATTGGATTACTGTCGATCAGCACCCAGTATTTTGGATGGGACTGATGAGTTTGGGCATATGAATGTGTGTGGTATGCTTTTCACAATCTGAGCAAAGCTGTTACTAATCTATCACTGGCTAATTATTTGTCATTGAATAAAATGGTAGCATGTAATGTTGTTTATTTAAAGCCAAAAATCAGTCAATGATTTGCAGTAATAATTTTTAGCCATTAAGCAGATAAACTGAGAAATCATCCATATTAAATAACTATGTGGTAGAGCCTAGATACACATGGTATCTCTCCTGTGCAGTTGGTGCTCGCTAACGCCCTCCCCCCATAACTACCAGTATGTTAATCTTGATAGACCTTAAATTTGAAATTAACTTACAAGCTGATTTTTTTTCTGGTTATGCATTACTTTCTCTAAAACTATTGCAACTTTGCCACACATAATGAAGCATGAGAGGGAGGTTGCACTGCTCAAAATATGACAAGACACTGCCTACCCTCACAAGAGCAGCATAAGATAAGCCTGAGATTTCTATCTCGTGTTATAAAATGTGCAATGCACTGCCACACAGCACAGTCAAGTGAGATTATACCACTTTCTTTGTTACAGTTTTAGACTATAGAATGAATACAGTGAGGTTCCCTCTCCATCCCCAGCTAGTGATGAGGCTACTTAATATACTCAATACACTTAATAGTTTATTATTGAATATATAGCTGAATTAATCTGTTTCTTTTATATATGCCCAAAATTTAGCTTTACCTGTTATACAAAACTGGTTCTGTTAATGCAAAATATGGTGTCCAGCTTCATTGTGTGTAAAATATTTATATTTATATTACTATTTTGTTTATTTATGTTTATATAAACTATTTATTTTTTTACTATTGTTAGTTCTCTAGACTAGAGAATATGCTTCAATAAGTATGTAGGTGTGATTTTGCTTTGTCACTATGATAGTATTCCTTATTTCATCATTGTTTCCCTTTTTAGTTCATCCAGGATGGAGGATTTTAAGGTGCCCCTACATGCATTGAACATTTGTTCAGTCTAGAATTGGTTTCAGGAGCCCACTGAGATTTCTCTCCCAATATACAGTGCTCTTGTTGAGAGATTGTTTACCTCCAAAGGTGTTCCGCCATGGAAGAATTCCTTAACATGTAACTTTCTAAAGGCTTGTTCCACATCAAATGTAATAGCATACAAATTATTTAGACAACACAGCTTTTTCTTTTTCACTCCGTGTTTGTAACAGTCACACCACAGTGTTTCTTTGTATTGATGTAGTGGAAATGGTGTTCTTCTTTTCTTTGAGGCCAGTTCCTTGCAGTTTTCATATATTATCATGTCAACAATTGCTACTGTAGTTTCTACAAGAAGGTTTAACTTTGGTTACGATGGTCTATTTTAGCTGCTATACACAAAAAAACATAAATTATAAAATAGCTAGTTGGTTCCTGTCATTAGCATTTCTTCCTAGGTACCCAACAGCTACTAAAATCTGGAGGACAAAAGCACTTTTAAATTTGAAAAGAAAAACCCCAAAATGTTATTAACCTCCCTGGCGGTATGATTATGTCAGGAATTTTGTACCAAAAGCGGTACAATTTTTTGCATGGAAATTTGGTGTTATGTATTGTAGGCCACACTGCAGACAAAAAAACGTCCAGGTTTCCCTTTCACAAAGTGCGGCTTCGTATGAATACGATGTGCATTAATGAGAATCTAAGGAGTAAACCCCATGACACACATGCTAAATTTCTGAAGGCCTGGGATCTCTGGATTTCATATGCTCTTCCTACAGTACTCCCTTCTAGTTTTTGTAGCCTTGAGCAAGTCTTCCCCCGGAGCTTTGGCATTGCTGTTGGTTGTATTAGGGACCCTGCTCACTATTCTAGTCTTGCTCTTTCCCTGATTCTTTCTGTTCTGTTCTCATCCTTTGTCTTTCCTCCCTGTCCTATCTACCCTTCTGGGATTAACCTGTTTGATTGTAGCTCACGACTCAGCCCCAGAAGAACCTATAGATCAGGACGTCTTAAGCTGTTAATTTTATGGACCACAGTTTATGGACTAGTGTATTGTCTTTAACTATATTTTTATGTGGGCTACTGTTCTCTGAGTTGTGTTTTGTTTTGGACCCCTGTGTGGGTAGTCTGTCTTGGGAAAATTTTGCCTCAGGTATAAAAAGGGTCAATACTAGTTATGTATTTTTTTGGCAGTGAATGAAGGTATGAAGAGCTACTGTCAATCCCATGAAAGCCCTATGGTATAAAGGACAAAGAGTATTTAGAAAAAAAGATGGAAGATGGGATGGGGAGCAGAATGGGTGGTCCACAACTCATTTGGATAGTACTTTTTATCCAGTAGTCTATTAAGCTCTATGCATTTTGTTTACAGACTACAGAGTACACATTCATTTATTTACAGATGTGGTTTGCTAAGCTATTGAATGCCTAAAACAAAAACCTTATTTCTTTTTAAAAGGTTTTGAGTATATCAGACGACTGTTAGGTATTTAAATGTGCATCTCATGTAAGAGCAAAAACATATGAAGTGTGTATTGATATCATTACCAGCAACTCTAAGTATTACAGTGTACACGAGAAGAGCCATTATTGAATATTAAATCTCATTCATACACATCGTCAGGTTTTTGAGCGTTTAGTAAATCTCAAGGTAAGTATTTCACGGATACACTCTTCACCAATAAGGATATCTATGGATACAGATATCTACAGATATTTATGGAACATATTCATAATCAGTCTGCAAAATGTAAACTAGTCATACGGTTTTTAAAAGTTTATGTAAGAATTGTTTAAATCTTACATTTCATGTTATAAGGTAGCATATGACTTTTGCTTTATATAGTACAGTATAGTATAACCACAGTTAAAATTGATGTAAAAAGTAGGACAGTATTCTGTGTATGCTTGTACTATTCAGATAATGGTGATAAGTCACACTCTTATTTTTCAGATAATTCCCAAAGGTGACCAAACAGCTCTTATTTGTGGTATTTACTTTGGATACAGAAATGCAGCTTCTTGGGGTTATTTACTTTAAAGTCAGATAGATATTGTTAGAAAAACTTACACAGGAAAATAGTATCTACGTTTACAGCAGAGCAAAGGGTAGATTGGTCCTTAGCAAAAAAAAAGCTGTAATTGTAACATAATGGAACGTAACTTATATGTGGCAGAAAATGTGCTCTACATACAGTATATTGCACTTTTTTAAATGTACCTGAGCAGTGAGGAAGTGTTCCATTCCATCGACTGTCTTCTTGGCAAACTCTGGTTGAATGTCCTATAAGTATATGAGTTCCAGTGCAGGAGTAGTGGACTTTTGAGCCAAATATAAATTTATCTCCACTTAGGACAGCATTAGCGGGAACACCAGGATGACCACATGATAAAGCTGTAAATAGTAAAATAATTTGATTCATGTAATAACAAAATAAGTAATGGATATTACATAGCTTTACCAAAGATATTTATTTATGTTTACTGGTATGTCTGCTAGCAAGAATTTCCTCTCCTTTTCTTTAATTTTGAGCCCTTTTTATTCAAATTCATTGTTAATCACTTAAATTTATTTTCTAGCTAATGCTTATAGCACAGTAAAATTATTTGCTATATTGCCAGTGATATCCAGTAAACGCTGGCTTTAGAACTAGCAGTTATGTATTAACCAGAGCAATTTTCAAGTATATACAATAGTATATTGTCTTAATTATGATTAATTATTGAATTAATTTATAGAAATCCTTGGTGGAGAGACTGTTTTGACTCCTGCTTGCAGATTAGAATGTTAAATGCATCCAGGAGTCCTGGAGGCAGTCCTTGTTAGGAGAAAACAGTATTCTATTGTGTCTTTTGTGTGGTATTGTAGTATCTGTGCTAATCAACACAGTATATTAGGAGACATGTGAAGAGAAGGTCATACTTGAATTAGGATTAGAGCCCAGGGATGAAGACTACCGAATACCAGATTACTGGTGAGTTTAAGAAGAGGGTGGTTTGGTACACTATAGCAATGCCTAGATGAAGAAGTTGGAGAATTTTTCCAAATCAGCTATTTTGGCCTAGATTGTTCACTTCTCCTGCCTTCTCCAAACACTTCACCCTTTTGTGAATAGCCCTGTTAGTGTATGTTTAAGTATTTTTTTAATTGTTAGAAATAGTTACTGATATAAAGTATACCACCTTCTTCAAAATGATAGCCTTGTGCAATATGAAATTCTGGAAACAGACACAAGAAACAATCTACCTGCATAACCATCTAATTTAAATTGCAGCACTTATTTTGCACGGTGTCTATCCTAAAATTCCCAGATTCTGAACTGAGAATTATGCATACCAAGAAATCCTAAATGCCACTTGTCTGAAAAGCAGGAGAGATATATATCTTAAAATACTGAGGTTTTTACTTAAAATGCTCAACCTTACTTATTAAACATTTCCAAAAATCACACTATTCTTAAACATGATCAAAAAAATTTGAAACACATATTTGCTCATTCTCCTGAAATATGTGGGGTTGATTTGCTGAAGGCAAATAGAGTTTTTACTTTGCATGTACATTTTCCTTAGCTTTGTGAATGAAATGAAGCTCTGCTGACTTCCATTATCCAATAATTTGCATGCAAAAATACTGTTCCTTTTATTTTTCTTGCTGTAATTGGGTATTCTTTTCACCACATTCACTAAGCTAGTAAGCTAGTAAAATACTCTTGCAAATTAAAATGTCCTTTTCAAAGTGAACAGCATATTTGCCTTTGATAAATCAATGCCTTTGTGCCTAACAGGATCCAATTCTAGCAGAAAACTGATAAACAAAGAACAAAATGCAAGGGGGCTGCGAAACCATCCAGAGATATTGTAAAATATCCATCGGTATGGTAGAGATATCCCTAAATTAAATTATGCATTCTGAATTTAGAACTGGAAACTATTTGCAATCCATAGATTGTCTTACTAATTGTAGCAATGCATCTTGAATAAAGATCTGTATCCAAAAGAAACCAATATTTAATTTTTCCTCGGTCAGAAGGAAATCTGGCACATGATTCATAAGGAAGAAAGCCCCACATTGATTATGTTTAACCATTTTTTATTATGGAGGTTTTATTTTTTCCCTCATTGAGAAGAGGATGCAGCAGAGGATACAGAAGAAAGAGCACCTAAAATAGATCATTTTTTAACAATTTGGTTTATTTCAAAGGGGGATATGTTTTTGCATTGCTCCTGTAGACACGCATAATGGCTGATATCAGTTGAGTAAGGGAATACACAGTTATCAGATACAGATTAGTCTTGGGTCTGCTGCATGAAGGGTTTGCATCAAATCCGTGGGGGGTTTCAGGTTTGTGGTATGGGCAAATGTAGGGGCAAATGTATCTGCAAATTCTCCAGACTGGATTTTAAAGGACTTTCCTGACACTGGCAAATTTTCTACCACATACCTAGTCTATATCTTGAGCATTTTGGAAATAACTGGGGATGGAGGCTAGAAGGGGGTTTAAAGAATGTGGAATTGTGGTTTGACATGTTTTAAGACAACGCAGCTTTATTTTTATAGGAAACTTTCCTATAGCTTTTAAGGCTGTTATGGCTGCTACTTCCACCTGTCATTTCAGGTCTACAAATGCCTGATAAAAAAAATCACGTGCAACAAGTAAAAACTACCTTATTATATGGTGCTGTTGCTGTATTAAAGCTGTGCTAAAAGTAAAAGTTCACAATGAATTACACAGACACTGTCTGTGAAAATATTACTTTTCTGTAACACTACATACAGCTAACGGCATCTCCCAAGCATGTAATAGAAAGGCTTGGTGTTTTTCCATGTTGTCCTCTAAGCTGCATTAAAATGACTATTTGCCTGCTGAATGGTAATTTTATTTATTTGACCATTACAAAACAAGCGTTCACTAGCTACCAGTACTTTAGGTTCCTATTTTCTGGCTCAAGTTAGAAAGTCAAATAGAAGTTTTTTCATGCTTGTCATTTTAGATTATTATATATATATAGATATATAGATATATATCTATATATCTATATATATCTATATATATATTAGACATGTGTGATTCGTTTCG